GGGGTCACGCAACTGTTGTGTGACCCGTCTGAAGTGAGTTAATCGAAAGCCTGATCAGTTACCCTACTTGTGTGAAAAAAAACAAAGTGAAACTGCGAAAAATTTCTTAATAAATTAGTATTCAAATTTCGGAAGAACACTATTTTCAGATGGTTACGCTGAAATTAAAAATTCTTTTTCTCGAAACTGCTGAGAATAAAAAACGGCATTTTGTCAGCTTATGGCAGAATAGTTTAACACAAATCCCTGCAACAAGACAGCTCAATCCCCAGACTTTGAAATACTTGCCTGTTTAATTATAGAATATAAAGTTTGCAGCCATGCTTACAATCAAAAAATGTTATTCACAGAAAGTAAATATATATAAACAAGCTTTGACCTAAGACAATCTGTTGTGCCGTTTGTTTCACATACGTAATTTGACTAGTGCATTCTTCTTCTCTCCATGCTCCAAATAGCCGAAGTTCACCTCCCAGCTGCGTAGTCCCTCTGATTCCGAGCATTTTTTATTACCACAGACAAACTGCCCTGTGCAAGAGATAAGACAAAGGAAAAAATCAGTATTATTAATCAACAGATCTATGACTTTGACTTGCCAAGGAATATACTGGAAACTGTAAAATATTTTGACGGTACGAGCACTGCAAAAAAAAAAACTCTGAGTAAACCAATTATGGGAAACCTTTACAGTGAGACATTCTATTTTAATAATTAAATATTTTCTCAAGTCAATAAACAAGGGTTACAATAGCTTTTCTTCGATCAATAAAAGATGAGATAAAGAGTCATTGCACATCCAACATACCTTTGCCATCAATGACTTCCTTCTCAATCCTCCATCTCATTCCAACCTGATAGGAATATAAATTGGAATATATTATCAAAACACATTTCAACTTTCAAAACTTCACATTATCAACAACAAAAAATAATAGCATAATTACTAGGATCTTTAAGATCATGAAGCAGAGAAATAAGAAAAATCGTATAGAATGAAATGTGTACGGCCTACATAGGAAGCTTTCAACACAAAAGATACCTTTGATCATTTAAACGGATTTCTTACATTATGAACTTGCTTTAAAAGATAAAATTGTGCTAGTAAGTTATCTTTGGTGTCTCACCTTGTTTTCTTTGTAACGACTCAAATCTGCGATACAGTATTCCTTGAAGAGCTTGTCATAGTATTTTTTTGCCAAAGTTTTTTCCCTGAGAAAAAGCAAGAGAGTAATAGGACAAGCAACAAGCATACATTTCATTCAACATACGTTCAGAGCACAGCGTTCCTTTATCGTCAAGTTTTATTTACTCATTCTTTTTACATATTTATCTTCTGATCCCATTTCTCATCAAGTTGTCTTACAAAAAAGGGATGTAACGTTCATCTCAAGGCAATCAACATGGTACAGCTCCCAACAGCATGAACCTAAGGACTCCCAGACTGTCTACAACAAAACCTCCACTACTATTACTATACACCCACTAGCATAACATTACAGAAAAGTATGAAGGTCTCAAACAAATTACATGAGCCGAAACTTTTTTGGCATCGATGTATAAAGTGCTCACCTCGACAAAGGAACATCTGCAATACCTGATGAATAATAATTATGCGCAGAATGTGAAAATATGTGGCTTCTAGATACTATTTGAACAACAACAAAAAACCTAACAAACTAACAAATTCATTAAAACTTTATCAGTCCTAAGACGGGAAGTACCACAAGCTGTATATCAGTTCTGGAAAGGGAGCTTTTTGACTCTTAGTCTTGAGATTGCTTACCAAGATTTCTCATCTGGATCTTCATCCCAGAGAAACTGATGGTGCTCCCGGATCACATCAAGATCTGTCTTGTCCTTGGATCTACAGCACAAATAAATTGACAAAAGTTACAAGCAAACGCATTCTCTCATAGCCAAAACTATGGGAGGGGAGGGGGGGGGAGTATAATCAATTACTAAATTACTATGCACATTGCCTTGGAACTGACTTCTCTCAGAAGAAAACACTGTAACTAATAGTATGCAATTTACAGCCACAGTCAGTGTGTTTTTCTTGAGTAATGAGAATGAAGTCATCATTTTGTTTCTATTTGTGTCCAATATACCAATGTGTTGAAAATTCCAATTCAATCTCACCCTGGAAATCATTGAGATACACCAGAATCAAAATGCTAATCTTCTCCAAATTATGCATTTTTTTAACCAACAAAAATTGTAACACAAAAAAGACAAAATAAGTGATGTTTGGATTTAAATAGTCATAGCTTCACAAAAGAAATAATAATTTTGTTGTTGATCACAGTACTGATATATTTGAGATATAATTTCTAAATGGTGCATATGTTTATGTTGCAAAATAACATGCACCAAAAAGACAAAAGAGAAACTTTACTTACCTGTCTCTTTCAAATTCTTTCTTAGATCCTCCATAATAAAGTAAGTAGTTATTGATGTATTCTTTGTGTCGGGAAAACTATTATCAATAAGGAACATAATCATGGTGCGCAATACAAACTATTTAACAATGAAAATCCAGGACACCTTATTACATTCAATAAGAAAGCCAGCTAACAGAAATCACTATTGGTCAAACATTTTTCCTGAACACAATGCAGTTCTGTCCATTTTTTTTTAAAATGCCAATAAACACAATGTTCTTTTAAGTAACAAAAGTGAACAAATTTCTTGAGCCAACTAAAATCAAACTAGATTATATTTCTTTTTAAAACCTAGTCATTTCAAATGTCCCACATTTTTTATTTCAAAGGTCACTTGCTGAATATCCAAGAAAGTCACATAAAATATCAGGCATTAAGAATAAAACAAATATTTTTCTTTTGTTACTTTCATTCACAGACAGTTTTTCAAATACTCATTAGATTGTACCACAGTGTATCATAACAATTCAATAAACAAGAAAATTGAAGGATACTGCATCCAATGCTACTGCCTTCGTTCTGTAAATTTTCCCCTCTTCTCTGAAAAGACAAATCATAACAATTTAAATTTTGTATGACATGAGTGAGTATATTCAACATACTTTGTTAAATATTGATTATAATATAACAGGCTGCTACACAAAAAGAATGGGGAACATTACAACTTATTTACCCAAAATATTATCAAAGTCAAAACATGAAATATGCAAGCAACTTAAAACAATTGCAAAAAGTTAAATGCTTCAAACTGATCAAATGTGAAAAATAGGTTTTCAAAAGCATAGACATTGCACATCTAGAAAGCTTTACAATACTGTTCTTTTAAAATATATAAAACTGACTTAAAAGAAACAAAAATTAGCTTTCAAAGCTTTTAATGTGACTCTCAAGATTCATCTCTTTTAACATAAAACCATTCATTCACAATATCCAATGTAACCTATGTATATGTGTGACATTATTTTACTGTGGAATTCACAAAACTTCAAAATTTATTGTTTAAGATTTTCTTACCATATATATCAACCAAAATTGTCCAAGAAGGCCACTCATTGTCGAGAAGAAAAGCGGTTGTCTCAGACATGTGGATGTCTTGGACAGTGTCGTAATAATTATTTTTTAATGCAAGGGGGAAAGTGGAAAGTGACCGTTTGTACAGGTGATTGTCTTGGACAGGCAGCTGTTAAAGCACGTTTGAATGTACTTTCCTTATATATTTGTTTGCAAAAAGATCTTTGAATTTCTTTACATATGAGTAGTACATTAGTACAAAAGGGTTTTCACAGTCGTATGCTTATGTTGACCAACACTAAAAAACCCACAGGTCATCAATAAGAAGAGCAATTTTAAATCTTTATAAATAAGAAGTCAAGTGATTTCAAAAACAAAATTTTTCAAAGTCTTTCTAGTTTTCATATGTGACCTAAATGTTCAAAGAAGAGAGCAAAACCACACTTACTTTATCAGTTCATCTTCAAGCTGTCGTTTATGAGCAACTTTGTCTTTCTTCTTCTTTTCTTTGAGCAGTCCACGAAAAGAATCTCTGGAAAACAAACATCATATCAAAAGTAGAAGAAAACAAAAGTTATGCAGCTTTAAAGGGATTTGAAAACAACAACATGCCGCTTTATTAGTAAGTACCATTCAGTAAAAGATTACTGTTTGCTGAATGTAGTACACACAATAAAGAAATAATCAGTAATGAATGGTTTCTCATTCTAAAAAAAGGCTGTTTAAATACCATTGATACTTTTATAAATGGTAATTTACTTCATATTTCAGCAATACATGCAGTGACTACTTTTCAAACTCTGGTACTACTTTATATATATATATATATATCTATATCAGTTTAACTTTCAGCTATATAGATACTTAATATAAATCAATTTATAAGAAATGCAAAAAGAAAAACCTTAAGGGGAAAGGTAAAGAACTATCATAGACAAGCAAATATCCATAAGAAATAATAAAAAGACACATTTCTTCAGCAAACCTCTTTTCTTTTACTTCAAGATCAGAGTCAAAAGCAGAATCATAGCCTCTATCTTTGGGAACCTGAAAACAGGAAAAATCAGGAAAAATACAAATTTCTTCAAAGAAGAAAAAAAAAAAGAAAAGAAAAATGTCATTTTAAATCTGCATGATAGAAAGACATCTTTAACAGTTGGAGTCCACTTTTAAACCAAATATGATTATTCTGAAAACAGCAGTAAATCAGAAAGAAAATAAAATCAACAGTTTTTTTCTTCTATGTGAGCAAGCCATCTAAACTGAAAACCCAGCTAGCTAAACTGACAAAAAAATCCTGCAGACCTGCAAATTTCAGTTTTTAAGTAGTAGACTTCACTATGTGTTTATTTAACTTATAATTATCCATCTCTGTCCTCTCACAAGAATTGTGATCATAAGATGTTATTGGCAAGACCACTGTCTTTAATTCACTTTAAAGATTCATAATCTTCTTGGGGAAAAAGATGCAGAGATTCTAGTACATTGAAAAGAGAAATACAAGGACAGTTCTGAAGAAACCTGCCTGAGATGGCAGGCAATTGAAATTTGGAAACGTTCAAAAACAGCCTCAGAGGCGGGGCCTATCTTTAAGGATTCAAATCAGAGTTTTCTTTTATTATGATGAATATGTTTTTATAGGACAGTGGAGAACACTAGAAAGGCAAAAATGTTTTGGAAATTTGTAGCCTCAATATTATATCTAGAGCTAAATCACAAACACTTCCTCTTAGCCGGACACACATATATTCTTTTTCTTTAAACTTCAGATTCAGAGGGTAAACTGCAAGCTTAAAAATTGTTGAATGACACTAAATATTTTAGAAATATGTGTGGACACTGTGGTATTCACACACCTAACGAAGTCGCTAGCCGTACTTAAGAACAGCTAGCCTGCCAGTCTAGCCGTACTTAGATTTAGGTTTGGCCCTATTGACCGAAACCTGTCGAGTACACATTTTTCATAGATCAAGTAATTATTCAAGTTTAAAATACATGCATGTCAGAAAGGCACCTTTTGGTTTCGTCTGAAATACAAATACTTTAGGAATTGCAAACTAAAATTTAATTTACAATTCAGCCATCATTATTAAATACAGCTAGCCTGCCAGTCTAGCCGTACTTATTTTAGGCCCTGCTATTAGAAACCTGTCGAACACACATTTAGCTCTATAATATTCAGGTTTAAAATACATGCACCGTCAGTTAGGAGTAAAGCACCTTTTGGTTGCGTCTCAAAATACTAAATACAACAAATACTTTATGTAATGCAAACTAAAAATTTATTTAGCCTACAATTCAGTAGGCCTATTTTTTGCTGTTTGTC